ATTCCCAACCTTCTATCTACTAGAACCTCTTATTAATCCATGGTCGCATCCATCCTGTAGAAATAATCTTGCCCCTTATTTTCCGAAAGAGTGAAATGGAAAAGCCTTCCATCTTACAGAGTGGCACTAATCTGTGCACTTGTATAATAACTCATGCCTAGAACGTGGCGTGGAGGACTTGAGGAATAAGTGCCCCGGATTAGTCATTCACCCTCAATGTATTTCCAACCTTACTCTCCCAAGCGCTTTTGTGTAAATCTCCAGTCCTCCCTCTACCACGACCGCAGCAAGGAGGAGGCTAGAATTTGATGAATGCACAAGCAGAAAAAAGACATGTGCAACTGGATTTTATTTTGCTCCCGTCACATCTTCTCAGAGAAAACAACAGCCCTCTTTCCTTTGCCAGGTTTCAACCTCTTCTTGTCCCACATCACATTCAGCACATACTTGCCTTTTTTCTACTTTGGGCTTCTCCACTTAAAAGTAATTTTTGTTATTTACTTGATAGCTTTGTTTCCTTACATTCTTCAAGAATTATTATGGGAGCAAGCAATCTAAGCTATCTTAGCAAATCTTAGCAAAGATTTGAGACAGAAAGGCTCAGGGAAGTTAGGTGACTCATCCCAAGGTCATAAAGCCAGGAAATATTTTGGCAGGTGTGGAATAAATAGTTTGCATTGCATCATTTTTTCCCTTTAACTAATTAATTTTTTGTAGGGTACATCATTTCAACAAACCCATACAATTAAGTGACATTGTCTACATTCTTCACATTGTATAACCAATCTCACTCTCCCTTTCCAATTTATTTCACCATAATGAGTATCGAATTTCTACCCTGTAAACTTCTCACTTAACCTTTGAACTTTCTGTGGTCAGTTTCATCACACAAAGGTAAGTCTTTGAAAGTCTTCAGTATTCAGGCAGACAGAAGGGAGCTTAACTGTGATTTGGTTCTAAGCAGACTTCCAAGGAAAGGTTCAGGTTCAGGTTTGAAAATTCTGTTTTTATTCCCCTTGAGGCTTCTCATTTCCTCAAGAGCAATCTTCATCATTAATAATTGAGAAATACGCAGATCCTCGGGGAAATACTTTTATCAAATGCTAAATCATCAACAGACATTGCAGCATTCCCTCTTTCCATGGTCCTTGGTGAGTCCTGGGCTTAGGGAGCATGAAACTAGTGTAATTACTTCATGTTGTCTCTGAGGAGCAGCCAACAGATGCAGACTCCAGAGTCCCAGAGCTTAGAAGTACTCTTGTCACAATTCTCACAAAGAACCTTGAACATTCACCATTGAAATATGGTTTGTTACTTCTATCCTGCCAAGTGCAACCTTTGCAAGATCATCTCACTTCTTTTGGTTGTTAGGGGCTGAGAAGTGGCCTGGATGCCTGAGGAATGTGCTCTGAAATCAAAGGGGAGAACTGCAGCAGTGGGTGGGCTCCTTTGGTGAGGAATGCTGTTTGGGACACATTCATATGGTGAGTTCTGCAAGAAAGAGGCAGGGCTTCCTTTGTAGCCCCAGGAAGGTCCCAGCCAGTATCTCTGTCTCCTGTGTCTGAGAGCACCCGCAGAGGAGCAGTGGAGAATCCTCCTTACAGAGTGGGCCACCTGCATCTGCACTCGCAGAATAGAGGTTGATTTCAGAGGTGGCTGTGTTGCAAGACATTTCTAAGAATGAGCTGTGGCCTCAGAGTCCCATTATTTGTGATCTGGTGCAAGTAATTTCTAAATTCATCCAGTCTTGAGAATCCATCTGTGTACTGATGTCACAATCTTTGTGACTAGATATTGCATTGTATAGTGTCTATAGGTCAATAAATGGCAACGGTCAGTGATGGTGTTACAGAAGCTGAGAACCTGGAAGCCAGGACCTCGGATCTTACTAGATATGGATCAAAGAGGGAAGTAGCCACTTCTCCAACAAGTTCCTACTAGAGTGCTTTCATGTCTCTGCCTGCTTGCTCCACCTTCTCAGCAGATTAAGGACTAGACAAGAGATGGGCAGATCTTGGAGGCACAGTCTATTGACTTAGAACCTCAAAGACAAATAAAGAGTGTGGGGTGAATTGATTAGAGACCCAAATACCACCTTTCTGGAGTTTTTTTGACATGTCTCTCTTCAATCTTTCCACAGAACGATGGCAGACAAAAGTAATCAGTCTAGTGTCTCTGAATTTCTCCTCTTGGGTTTCTCTGAGAGGCCAGACCAGCAGCCTCTTCTACTTGGCATCTTCCTGAGCATGTACTTGGTCACTGTTATGGGCAATGTGCTCATCATCCTGGCTATAAGCTTTGATCCACACCTCCACACCCCCATGTACTTCTTCCTGTCCAACCTCTCTTTTGCTGATGCCTGCTTCTCCTCCACCATCGTCCCCAAGATGCTGGTGAACATCCAGACACATAGTCAGACCATATGCTATGAGGGGTGCTTGGCTCAGATGCATTTTTTCATGACATTTGGTGCTCTGGATGACTTCCTCTTGGGTGCGATGGCCTATGACCGCTACGTGGCTATCTGCAGGCCTCTTCACTACACCACACTCATGAGCCCTCTCATGTGTGTACTCCTTCTTGCGTTATGCTGGGTTCTCACCACCCTGGCTGCCCTCTTACACACACTACTTATGGCTAGGCTATCCTTCTGCTCAGGCAACACTATTCATCACTTTTTTTGTGATGTGGTCCCCCTGTTACAGCTCTCCTGCTCAGATACAAGCACCAACCAGGTAGCCTTGTTCATCGTGGGCTCCCTGATTCTTACTGGTCCCCTCTCACTGATCATTTTGTCATATGCACATATCATCTCCACCATCCTCCAGGTCCCATCTGCTTCTGGCCGGCAAAAGGCCTTCTCCACCTGTGGATCTCACCTCACGGTTGTTTTCCTTTTCTATGGTGCAGCAATTGGTGTGTACCTGTGTCCCCCTTCTTCACACTCAGGGGGGAAAGATAGAATTGCAGCCGTGTTTTACACAGTGGTGACCCCCATGCTGAACCCCTTCATCTACAGCCTTAGGAACAAGGAGATGAAGACAGCATTGAGAAGACTTATTGCCCTGAGCACACTTTCCTCTCGGGGACTTTAACCTTGTGTACATGTTACACCCCAGGAGGGCTCACAGGCTCAGGTAGTAATAGTCCTCCCTCCAACCCCATATACTTAGCTATTAGGGAAGAATTATCCCAAACTCAATGTCTTCAGCTTCAAATCAGACTCTGCACGAGGTCAGTGTACCTTTATAAAAATAGCATGGAGGAGTCTACTGCATATAAAATTTGCAAATAATCTTTTATGTCTGGGAGAAGATCTCTGCTTTTCTATGATGTGATGGTTAAAGTTGTATGTCAACTTGGCTGGGCCATGATTTTCAGTGCATTGTAAGTTATGATCCAGTTGCTCCCCTGCCTGGATCAGCCCTGACATAATGGAATCATTTCTATGATGAGGTCCTGTTATGAACAGTCAGTCCATCGAAAAGCCATTTCTTCAGTGGTGTTTTCTGCTTCCCAAGCATATGGATATTCTGGCAAAGTTCTCTGGCATGCTGCTGGATCGGGGTCCTGCATCTGCCTCATCATCGTCTGACCTCTGCTTCTTTGGACTTGAGTCTATAGCCTGTGCATTGCCTACCAACCCCAGGAGGCATTGACCTCTTCAGCCTGTAGGTCAGCAGCCTGCCAACTGGCCGACCCGTCTTGGGTTAGTCAACCTCAGCAGTTGCATGAACCAGGAGAAGCTTTAAGCCTGACAGGTGACCTATGGACTTGAAACATGACAGCTTCTACAACTGTGCCAGCCATTTCTTTGAGATAAATCTCTCTCACCCTTTCTTATTATCTATCGATCTATCGATGAATTCACTGATTTTGCTTCTCTAAAGAACCCAGCCTAAGGCATGTGGCAAGACCTATAAAAAACTAATTTGGTTGCAGATAATGTAGAGAAAATGGGAATAACGTTGGAGGATGCTGTTCAACTTGTATTTCTTTATTGTTACATTTCCAGGCATCGTGTTAGCCATGGGAGATATTGTGATAGAGAAACCTCTCCTCTAGGTAGTTCACTTTCTCTGCAGTATGGTGTTGTCTAGTCTCGATGGGATTGCAACAGAAGTTTTATCTTATTGATATGTTTTGCTATTTACAACTCCTTTGACCCCCCAATCTTGACACTCTTGATTTAAGATCTAAAAGACATCACCTTTTAGAGCTTGAAAGCTCTGATTTTTGAGGATCTACTACATTATCCCACTTCTCAATGCCAATGCTTGTAATAAGACAAATCCTTAGGCAACAAATATGTAGATGTCCATCATGATGCTAATTCCTGAGTTCTCACTATTGATCAAAGATAAAGCTAGTAAGAATTCATCTTTAGTGAAAGAAGACACGTGATCTGGTCCTCATAGTGGAAAGAGGCACCCAGAGTGGATAGTGACAGTTGCTTTAATAAAGACTGGAGCACGGAGGGAAGAAAAAGAATTCTACTTAGAGATGCTAAGTTAGTTTTCCCATGACATTTTATGGGACATCAATCCACCAGCCTTTAAAATGAGGAAGAAAAGGAATCACAAAGATTCCATAAGGACAGGCTGCATGCAGTGCAGACTACACTGATCTGTGCACCCAGCCCTGCCTAACCTCGAAAATGATTTCTTAGTGGGTCTCCCACTGAAAGGGGCTTGCTGTAGGATCTTATGTGCAATGTCTGCTTAGTTCTGCATTTTTGTCTAGCCCTTTCTTCTTCTAAGTATACATGTTTTACAGTTATGACAGCAGATTATTGTCATCTGGATCTTTGAAAACTGCTGCTAACTCAAGTTCCAATCCACACACCCCTGAAGATGGAATTCCAGTATCTTTGCTTTAGAAAACACTCTCCAAGAATTTCTAGAGTGAAGCTAGTGCTGAGAAATACTGCTATGAGGTTTCCTTAGGTGCTACAAATGGAGAGATGAAGCAGTGCAAATATGAGAGTAACTGGTTTGCTTTTTAACCCATGGCATCAACATCAGTTTGGCATACAGCAGGTGAACAGCACGAGGAAGTTTCTGAACACTGACCTCCCACTAACTCCCTTAGAAACACAATCTATGGCCATTGAGATGATTCCAACCTGGCAACCCTAGATGACAGGGTAGAACTGCCTGAGAGGGCTTCCAAGACAGTATGGGAAGCAGACTGCCACCTCTTGAGGGGTGTAGAGGGTTTGGTGGGCTCAAACTGTTGACCTTTTGGTTAGAAACCATGTGCCCTCACCCCTGTGCCACTCACTGCTATCAAATTGATTCCCAGCATATAGGGCTCCTTGGTTCTCTCTTACATTCAGCTTCAAAATTCTTATTGCTGCTGTAATCTCTTATCACCCTTCAAGTTCTTCCCCAGACTTCCTGTTTCTCTAGAGACTTGATTAATGTCTACTTCAGGCTTATCTGTTTTTCCTCATTTTAATATCAAAATTATCAGTGTGAAACATTATTTTCACAGAAGCTGAGTTTATTTTTTTTGTATTTCCATCTTATTGGCATCCCTTCTGGACATGCTGGACATGTATACCTGATGTACTATATTTTTGAAATAACAAATAATGCAAATGTTTTCTTGTGTTTTTGTTGTTATTTTCATTTCACTATAAGTTTGCTGGTCACTTGAGTTCATGGACTTGATGTATTTGATTTCTGTGGACCAATCTTACTATCTTTCTTTCCTTCATTCAAAAATCAATCTCTACCCAGCATTTGAACTGCGTCTGCACCAACTGCCTTGTGATCACTTGAAAACTGCACAACCTCTCTGAGCCAGAGTTGCCCATCTGGGCTGGTGTGACAATTAAAGGAGACAAGACCATTGAAGCACTTAAGGCAAGGCCTGCCATGTTGTTAGCAGTCAGTCAATGTTCTTGTAGTGATGGTAATTGTGCACTACTGGAAGTAGTACAATATAGATTTGATCTTTATATTTGGGTTTCCATTGAACCTTAAAAAAGGTTAAAACAATAGAGGCTGGATCTCAAACTTTCTTTGGGTGCATGAGTTTGTGGTGCCATTTGGCTTCAATTGAGCCTGACCTGATTATTTTGAAAAAAGCATTAGGCAGTAGTTTTACTGATGTTAAAGATGTGGATGTATGATGCAGTAAATTAATTCATATGGTCCCTCTGGTCATATTGTTTGTAACTTTCATCAAATTACTGGGTAGGTCTATGCAAATGAGGTGCATGTAACCCTCCAGGGAATTGGATAGCTTGACAGTAATGTAAATAAGGTGCATGGAGCTTTGTGGGTTTGGGACCATGAAAATAAGACATATGGAACCCTAATGCAGGGATTGGTCATTTTTGCCATCGCACTAGGTTTAAATAGGATATCTCTGAGACAGACAGTGGTAGGGGGATATCAATATCACTAAAGAAGAGTCAGCCGCCGTATGTGTTCTTTGGAGCTAGGATCTTTGCACCGAGAATCTCCCAAATCCAGAAGATTGAGAGAGAGAGTTGTCACACCAAAGATAAGAGACGGTGAGAAGCAGCAGCAGAGAAATGGCAGAAACAGAGCCGGAAGTCTGAGATCCCTTGGGTAGGACGCTTGCTACTGGAATGGGTGCCTATGGGAACTTGGTGGGACTGGGCTTGCCGACCCAGGAATCTAGAGCTTAGCGATGTTGGATAAGGCTTACTGGCAGAGTAATGCATATTGACGGAGATACAAGAGCATTGTGACACTTGCCTGAGCAGAGTAGAGGTCCAGTAGAGGGGCTGAGGGTCAAAGTCAGACTTTCTTGTGGACTTGGCTGAGAAGAGCCTCTCCTGATTGAATAATTGTACCCTGAGCCTTTCTGAATCTGAATTGTAACTTGTTACTTCCCTAATAAAGTATAGAACATTTAATATGGTCTGTGAGTTCTCTGGAGCCATGGCAATGAATTATTGAACACAGAAGAGTGTGCTTTGGGAGGGATGGTACGTTCAGAGTTGTTAAAAAGATTGGTAGGTGGAGGCATGTCTGACCTCCACCTCAAAGGAAGCAGCCTGGGGCTGTTGATGTAGAAAATGATTCTCTTTCCCCTTCCTGAAGTTTGAAGAAGAGGTCAGGTGCTTCTCCTGCCAGGATACTTTTAAAAAAATCATTTTATTGGGGGCTCGTACAATTGTTATCAGAATCCATTCATCCATCCATTGTGTCAAGCACATTTGTACATGTGTTACCCTCATCATTTTCAAAACATTTGCTTTCTGCTTGCACCCTTGGTATCAGCTCCTCATTTCCCCCCTCCCCTCCCCCCCCCTCCCTCCCTTACAAACCCTTGATAATTTATAATTTATTATTATTTTGTCATATCTTACACTGTCTGACATCTCCATTCACCTACTTTCCTTTTGTCCATCCCCCAGGGAGGAGGTTACATGTAGATACTTTTAATTGGTTTCCCCATTCCACGCCACCCTCCCTCCACCTTCCTGGTATCGCCACTCTCACCACTGGTCCTGAAGGGATCATCTGTCCTGGATTCCCTGTGTTTCCAGTTCCTATCTGTACATCCTCTGATCTAGCGAGATTTGTAAGGAAGAATTGGGATCATGATAATGGGTGTGTCGGGGGGTGGGGGGAGAGGAAGCATTTAAGAACATGAGGAAAATTGTATGTTTCATCGTTGCTACTCTGAACCCTAACTAGCTCGTCTCCTCCCTTCTGTAAGGAGATGTCCAGTTGCCTACAGATGGGATTTTGGTCCCCAATCTACACTCCCCCTCATTCACAATGATATAATTTTTTGTGCTTTGACGCCTGATACCTGATCCCATGGACACCTCATGATAACACAGGCTGGTGTGCTTCGTCCATATGGGCTTTGCTGCTTCTGAGCTTGATGGCCACTTGTTTACCTTCAAGCCTTTAAGACCACAGATGTTATATCTTTTGATAGCCGGGCTCCATCACCTTTCTTCACCACATTTGCTTATGCACCCATTTGTCTTCAACAATCATGTCGGGAAGGGGAACATCATGGATTGGCAGTTTAATAGAACACAGTGTTCTTGCATTGTGGAAGTACTTGAGTGGAGGCCCAATGTCCATCTGCTAACTTA